ACACTCTGTTTGGAAGTAGAGATGGGTTTTGTATTCTTTTAAGTTATTTGTTCTTGCATAGATTTTGGGTTTGGTATTTAGGGATTTACAATCTGAGCTACGTGGTACATATACGAGGGTTTCCTTGTTTGGATTATTTTGCTCGATGTACCTATGCTTGTGTTGTAACTTCCTAAATACTAAAATCCTCTTATACCTAGGTACTTACAATCTGAGCTACATGGTATATACATGAGGGTTTCCTTGTTTGGATTATTTTGCTCGACATACTTATGCTCACGTTGTAATTACCTAAATAGGATTTGTGATTTTATATATATATTATAACTGTATTTTCTATATACAACGAGCCCTTTTCCTTGGGGTTGGTTGTGATGTTGCTCGCTAGCGCTTTGACGCTCGTTGTCCCTCCCCCTTTCAAGTAACGAGTCAGGAGCCCGGAGAGTCGCAGGTTGATGGCGATGCACTTTAGCTTCAGCTATTCTATTATAGTTATATTTTACTTTTGAGCTCCACTGTAGGCTTTTGTTTAGACATTTGAGAGTTTATTCTAGAAGTTGTAAAGGCTGTGTGCCTTATTTCCTTTTATTCAAATATTTGTATTTGAGACTTGTTGAGAAGTTCCAGTTTATTCATTTCAGACATTGACTTGTATTTCAGTATGTTGGATGATGAAATATTAATTTGATCTCTATTATTTCATCAGTTGACTCTTGTATTATCTTTTACTTGCTTTTGTACATACACCTGTTATTTGATTCCACTAGAGAGATAGTAATTGTGATGGTGAAACATGTTATTGCACGGTGTGGTGCATGATAGATTTGACATTCTTGGTTTCACCTTAGACTACAGCCTTGTGTGAACCCAGGGGCGTCACAATGGAGAACCTGGTATCTGTGATCATCTCCCTCAAAGTTCGATAGTCCCCCTACTTGATGGCGTCAATCCATTTTTGGCTGCTACCATCTAGGTACAAAGGATGTGCCCGTCCAAAGCATGCCTTACTTCAGAGTCGCAAGTCCCATCATGCCCAAAGTGGTGGTGATGATCAACATGCTCCTTCGATAATCAAACTGTACTAAAGGATGTGAAAACAAGGTAGAAGAAACTATGCCAACGACACCCGACTCGACCCAGACATATCGACTTCTCATCTCAAAAGTTGAGATGAAAGGTGTTACTTCTCATCTCCCTTGACTCTTGAGATGAAAGGCATCACTTTTTGACTCCCTCAAAGACCTAGATGAAAGACGGTGATTGGTGAATCTCACTCAAGTGAAAGTCACTCAAATCAGATTGACGAATCTCGCTCAAGCGAAAGTCATTCAAACCAAACAGGTGAACCTCGCTCAATCGAAGGTCACTCAAATCATATGGGCAAATCTCCCTTAGGCGAAGGTCGCATAAACTAAATCACACCCCCCGCTCAAATGAAGTTCGCTCTAGAAGCCCAAAAGGCTAATAGCAATGAGTTTTGCCTGAGAAATGAGCTTACCGGATCAAGCGCCATTGATGGCCGCTGACAGAGCTCCATCACCATCGACAGAAGCTGGTCGATAAGACCATGAGTGGTCATAAAAATCATACCTTTGGTAAAGAATAGATTTTAAGTACCTAAAGGAACTATTTGAAGCCCAATTGGGGTTGTTTTTTGGTGTATCCAAAGATTACCATGGATGGGTTTAAAACTTACCCACGGTCATCTCCAACCGTGTCAGCGTGTCATTAGTTCTTGGCTACCGAGGCCCCCTTATAGCACCTCTTTTCCCTTGAGATTGCACTTCAAGGATCCATTAAAGATTGACCTTGAGATTTTGGTGGGTTTTGAGGAAATTAGGATTTTAGGGAAGTTAGGGTTTTGAAAATCAAAGTGAAGAAGAAAGGAGGTAAATATCTCTATTTATGGATTAACCCTAAACTTTGCCAAATATTTTTTACCCTAAGATTCACCATAAATCTCACCCCAAACTTCGTCAAAGATTCTCACCTCAAACTTCGTAGAGAATCTTGCTCTGAACTGACTTCGCCACTATTTCAGATATAAAAATCAAGGATTCAAATTTTAAATCCTCATAGCGAGTCCCCGTATAATGGAGTTGCTAAGCCTTACCTAACCGACTTACTAAGCTTCGTCCCATCGACTGTTTCTCAAGCTAGTTGAATGAACTTGACCCCAATCAGTTGGGTGCTGAAGCGAACTTCACCAAAATGAGATGGTGAATTTTACTAAGTCTCCAAATTAAGAAAATTCTAATTTAATTTATTTGAGACCCTATCTGTTGAGCTTTAATTCGACTCTCATCAATACAATGAAGCCTGAGCTTCGCTTCCAACACAACAACACCATGCAGAGTTCAAGTCTACCGCAAGAAGTAAAGTTCATACATATCAAACACACAAAGATAGCCAATTCCAGAAAAAGTTTATTTTTATTGATCGAAGACTCTACTACATAAAGGCGACATTCAGACTATCCAGATACATGGATGATGGGTATTTATTTCTATTTGCTACTACCCTATATTCTTAACTATGGATAATATGATGGCTGAAAAACATAAGAGAGCTGCACCAAGCTACAGAGTCCCTGTTCCTCCGATCTCACAAAACTTGGGAAGTTATACCTTTCCTCATGCAGAAAAACGGCTTTTACTTACTCCTCACTAAACTCTATGACAAAGAAGAAGAAGAAAGCTACTAAAACAAGAACCGCCCTTGTTCCTCTAGGTGAGACATATCAATAGGAAGAAGCACATTTTTACACTAAAATTCGACGTCGACCCTGAGACAGCTATATGACATCTAATTACGTTTTAGGTTCATATTTGTGAAACTTAATCACTGTCGGCGTCTTCGCTTGTGAAGCTCCAAGGATCTTTCTTCAACCTCCATCTTAGTCGTCGAATGGTCTTACGCAGAGCATGGTACTCGAAGCTCCAAGCGTCTCTATCACGATTCAACTCGCCCTAACCCTTCGACTAATTCTCTATGATATGCTCGAGCTTGGCCTTCTTAGACTACAACAAGTCCACAAGTCAGTGGAGTATGTGGAGTTCATCTAATTGATTACCCCTACTTAGGCAAGCTCCTATTGAAGCTATTTTATTTCAGCTCCTCTATTGAAGATGCTCCTCAATAGATCGGAGATGCTCCTCAATAGCGCTATTTCCCTTCCAAATTCTTCAATATCTAATCTATTGAGGTGCATCTCCGATCTAGCTATAAATAGCGCTATTTCCCTACCAAATTCTTCAATAGAGGATCTAATTGATTACCCCTACTCTAGGATAAATTTCAATCCCTGCTATAAAGTCAAATAGAGGATCTTGAAAACTTTGAGGGGATCTTGTAGACGATTGAAAAAATATTCTACCCAGGCTAATGTTTAACTTGAAACCAAGAAGTAAACACATATGTGCTAAACACTTCAAATAGGCTCTAAGTCAAACCCACAACAAGCTATAGTGAAGCTTGCTTGATAGAACATGTAGACTCCGCCACACAGTTCATTTTGACCTAAACCGATTGAGTCAAGAGTGGGTCGACTTCCAATTCTGACTTTTAAGCCGAGCCGAATGATGTCATTGAGTCGACCAAGTCGCGAGTCGAATTTTGTACAAAATTCGAACACGCCACTGAAATTCACCAGCTAATTAATCAATGAACTTCGCCCACAGGTACCCACGTAGGGCACGTCACCCACGATTTAGAATTGTCTCATCCACATCCGAGTGAGCCTCACCCAAACGCCTTCAACAAGCTTCGCTAATCAATTAATCAGTGAAATTCTCTATTTAGCCGTTTGAGGGCTATTTTCAAGAGGATAACCGCTCTCCCACTAACTCCTATTTTAATGGCTACTTAACCCACAATTAAAGGCCAATAACTTCATCTCTTAGGGGCTGTTTGGTTGCACACTTTTTGAGAAAACTTTTCTCAAAACATCTAACAATGACAAATTTATAATTAAAAGTTTTTCAGAGATTTCTGTAAATTGTGTTTGGTTCAACAAAAAATTTACAAATATTTTCTATAAAATATCAAAACCTATCAAATTTTACAAAAAGCAATTTCCTCTCAAAATGAGAGGAAATCACCAGAAATCTGACACATACCATATTTAATTAAAAACCTACCAAATCTTGTTATTTTCTATAAAGTTATGAGCTATTTTCTTGTTTTGAACCAAACAAGCAAAGTATAAAAAATAAAAAAATTGGTACTTTTTGATTTCTCAAAACTTTTCCTATAATTTTTTTAAGAAATACAAGGAAATCATATTTTAGGTGGAAAACATTTCCTCTAATTTCTAGAAATTGAACCAAACACCCCCTTAGTCTATAAGAGGAGAAAGAGATTGTTCATTCGACACTCATACTGAGATAGACACAAACACTCAGACACACAAAAGAGAGAAGAGAGAAATTGAACACCCCATACACGTGTGGCTTCCCTCTATTTTGGTTCTAAGAGAAGACTAAGCTATATTCCAAGTAACCAAATCAGAAACCAATAGTAAGAGACCCATCATCTTAGTCGGATCGTCAACGGAGTACAATATTGACACTCCATTGGTACACAAAAAAGAACGCGATCAATATAAATTTTCTTGTTTCTCTTTTGAGCTGTAATCTGTGTCAATTATAATTTAAAGACCAGAACCACTCACATGCGGGTTGTTGTGACAGAACTTGGACTCCCGTACTAATGAAACTTTTTCATTTTCTTTGGCTAGTATTCGCTACACTCATTGATTCCTCTCCCATTGTTCTTCGTGATTCTAAGTATCAACATCATGATTTTGCCAAAATGGCAAAAAAAAAAAAAAAACATCTCATATGAGAAATGGCCTTTTTGCCCAAAAAGATATTTTCCGGCCCTAGCAAAGGGCCCAACAACATCCAGATGTAACTGTGATTCCTTCAAAAAAACGAAGCTGCTTCCAATAATAATAATCACTTAATTACAATTTAAGCCCTTCAAATCCCACCCCTACGATCTCATCACAATCTTCATCATCTCTAACCTCTAAACCCTTCCTCATCTCGCTGTCTAACAGTGGTGAAAAAGTCAGAAAGGGCGAAGAGAGAAAAGATATTTTACCTTATTTTATACCAAAATTCTTCTATTTTTTTTAATAAGGGAGATTCATTCTCTTGGGAGATCTAGAGGAATTTGTAAGACTCGGGGTTTGGGGGAGGAAATCATCATGAGGAGATAGCGGTACAAAGATCGAGAGAGAGAGAGAGCTCAATTTAGAGAGATAAAAGAGAGGGGATCTAGAAAGAGAAAATTAGGGTTTTGGTCGGTGGCGATGGCGTCGGGGAAGCTAGAGGGCCCGTCGGCGCCAGCCGCCCGCCGAGATCCGTACGAGGTGCTTAGCGTCTCGAAAGAGGCTTCGGATCAGGAGATCAAATCCGCTTACAGAAAGCTTGCCCTCAAGTATGTTTTTTAATCGTTGCGTGACTACGATCAAAAAGTTTCTTTCCTTCTTTCTTTTTTTCTTCTTTCCATCAGAATTTTTTGTGCTGATTTCATCGTTGTACGAAAATGTTCCATTAAACGATTTGATGATCTTGTTAGGGTCCACATCGGGTTTATGAGATTTAAGTCTCCTCTATCTAACATTTAGATCCGTAGAAATTGATCTCACAGGGAACCTCATGCTTCCCACTTGCAATTATGCATTGATGCTGTATTGTTATATTAGGAGCATTTTACTCTAACCTGCATATAGGTCTCATCTTCGACAACTAGCTTTAAGATTGCGATTTGCTAGGTCTCCTAACAGATACTCTAGTTTTGTTTCTTAAAAATATCGGTTTTAAGAAACTAGAAGATTTGGAGTGTTCACAAGGACCGTGTTTGTTTGAAAATCTCCTAAATACAATTGTCATTATTCATTTCGTTGTTATCTGTTGTAATTCCATTCTCGATTATTTCTTGATTTGTTATGTATACAAGACAGAAGCAGAGGAACAATACAAGTGTCACTTTTTAATTTAGATTTTGAAGCTTGAAATGAAGGATTTAAAGGGAGAATGTGTTTTTAAGGTCAAAAATGCATGATCACTTAATTAGAATGCTTTCTTTGTTCATCCATTGAGCTAATTTGGCTTATGATTTGGTTTTAAGACCGTTGGGAGATGTAGTAAAAACAGGAAGAAATTAACATATTTGAGAGCTCCGTCTCAAAACCAACGAACTTTGTATTCTGTATTTATGGAAAAAAAACAACAACTGCTTAATATGTCATAGGCTATTTGTTTCCTTGAATTTTGGGGATTTGGCAACCTTGCCTAGAGAAACGAGGCCTACTTTATCAAATAACTATTTTATTGGATCAAATGTGATCCACAAAAATGTCTACTGATTTCATTTCAAAATTTTGACCAAATCCTCTTCAATAGCCATCAAATTAACAAGAATTGGGTATGTATTTTTAAGGATCCCTTAAATGCAAAAAATATTTTGAAATGAAATTCACAAACCAAATAGCTCTTAGCATTTTATAAGACTTTATATTCATAAGAGACAAGACTCGATCAAATAACAAATGTATCTATCGGTTTATGAATAAACAAATCTAGATAGCTAAAATATGTAGTGTCTTCTAAAAAAAAATCTACGAAATGTTATTTTCTTCGATCCTACCATATCGAACTAATTTCATTCTTATAAAAAATAATTTCAGATCTAAGCAAATCTTATAACTACTATATAATAACAAAATAAACATGATAACTGGAGCAAAATTATCATGAGTGAATGATTAAATTTACTAAGGATAACGGGTTGGGTACTACTTTTATTTACATTTGAATCATTGTTCCCTTCTGATAATTGAAGAATTTAATGAGCATGTCTTCAGCCTTATACAATGATTACTCTAGTGTGGCAAGACTTTCTTTATATTAGGAGATTTTCCTTGTTTTTCTTTGCATCATTGACCATTCCGAGAAGAAAACATGAAACTATGGTGTGGTAATGAAACAATGTAACAGAACTAAGGATATGGAAAGATGTGGATATATTGTCTAGAATCCAATTAGTGTAGGGCGGTAGCGTATCCAAGATATAAAGTTCAGAAAGAGGGTACTATGTAAACTTGATACGTTTGTTCTCACTTCTCAAAGCAAGAAATGCATGATTCCATATTCATCAGCACCGAATATAACTTTATTATCGTAGACCTCTATTGATTTATGCAGAAGTGCATATAAGACTGAACTCTAATTTGTTTGAATATAAAGTTAAGCAACCAAATTAACGATTTCTTAAAATTTGAGATGAGTGAATTAAAGGGTTTAATAGGAAAATGTATGTTTAAACCCTTCAAGTATTGAGGTTCTTAAATTAGCACAACATGGTTCCCGTGCAAGGGCGTGACATCACTATCAAAACTTCTGCAATGATTGTTATAATAAGCTTACTTTTTGTTGTTTGTTACATATTGATATGGAAATTACACAATGCTTTTGCTAGAGGAGGTTGTTTATGGAGATAAAACGTGTAAGGTGTAATAATGCACAATTCAAAATTTTCTTTTATTGTCACTGATAAGTTGCATGACTAAACAAATAGTTCCTATCAAAATTTCTTCTTATTTCAACCTTACAAAAATTTAATTTTGTATACATCTAACTAATTTTAGATGCTCAACACTTAATTGTTTTTGGATACACGCTATATTGTTTATATCTTTACATCTGAAGTATCATTACAGTGTAGCATCCGTGGATGGGATTCTAGCATACTTTATCTTTGCATCCGAAAGTGATAAATGGGAATGGGGAAATGCTTAGTCATGTGATTGATAACAATTAGAGGCTAAACCAAAAAGCTAAAGAAGGGAAAGTGATGCACTAAAAAATTATTATCATACTATTTACGAAGATAAAGCCACGATCCAATGATTTGTTAATTAGAACGTGCAATGTACTGATTACGACAATTCATCAATCATTATCCATTTAAATAATCGCTAGAGAAACATAAAAATAGAGACAACGAAGATAAAAAAAATTCATGTTTCTCATCCCCCCTTCATAGTCTATAGATCTAATCTATGTATACAGGAAAAAGACCAAATTGGTCACTAGTAAGCTGATTCCATGCTCACAAATGAAAACAGTAGTGAGGGTAGTAGGTTCAGAAGTTTTCCTTAGGTTTGTCTTAGCTGGTTGTGTTGTGTGTGGGTTTGTTTCTCTCCTTCCTGATTTGCTTTTTTCTCCAATGAAGATGAGTAGTTTTTTGGAGAAGATAAGTGAATTAGAGTTACGATGTGAAGATAAGTGAATTAGAGTTACTAAGTGAACATGTAGCGAGATATAAATGGCCCTCAACTCGAACTCCATCGTCTTCCATCTGTGTCTTGTTTTCCTTCATTATTACACCACAATCACCATCAGTTGAATTTCTTCAAAATGCAGCTCATATTTTTGTAAACAAATGAAGGAGCGTTAATTAGTGAATGAATATATACTTAAATGCAATTGCAATGGTTATACTTGATGCTCTTTTTCCATCTAATATGCTTTTTCTTTATTTGCGATATTGCTATGATCATTACTTGATTTTTTTGGGAATGTACATTGTATCTTCCTTTGAGTTTTAATCTGTAAGCAATGTGGGACTAAAAGCAATGCTAAACGTAACTCTCAACACTCCTTCGCAAGCTGAGCATATATATCATGTGTCTTGCTTGTCACAAATAAAATTCATCCTTGTCGTTCATAGATGAGTCAATACCCTTGCATTCACACATTTCAACATCTAGTAGCATAATATGAACATTTTCTCTGAGATAAGAGAATCACTTTCTTTGAATTAGCTACTTCGATACCAAAAAAATACCTCAAGGATCCAAGATCCTTTGTCTAAAAATATTTTTGAAGACACTTCTACAAGTTGCTAATGTGCTATCATCTTCCGTGACTAGAATATCGTCAACATATACCATTGGAAAAATTCTCTTCTCAGCATGAGTCTTTCAGAAAATTGAATGGTCTTTCTAACCTTGATGAAGACCAAACTGCTGAAACACTACTTGAAAACATCCAAATCATGCTCTCGAGGATTGTTTTAAGCCATAAAATGGTTTCTTCAATCTGCAGACTTTCCCATGCTCCCCTAAGCAACAAACACTAGTAGTTGCTCCATATATACCTCATTGAAAATGTTATTAACGAATGATTCTTAACATCTAACTAATGTAGTTGCCAGTGATAAGGGGCATCTAGTGAGACAAGACTCTGAACTAACTACCATATATACCTCATCGAGAATGCTATTAACGAATGATTCTTAACATCTAACTAATATAGTTGCTAGTGATAAGAAGCAGCTAGTGAAACAATACTCTGAACTGATGTCATTTTCGCCATAGGAGAGAAGATTTCAACATAGTCTAGCCCGTAGATTTGTGAATACGCCTTCGCAACCAGTTGAGTTTTGAGACGAGCTAGAGAGCCATCTGGATTCACCTTTAATGGATAGACTTATTTGTAATCAACAGTTTTCTTCCCTGGTAGTAGGGGGACAAAATTACAAGTCTTATTTTATTCTAAAATTATCATCTCTTGTATTGCCTCCGTCCAACCTGAAATAGATAAGGATTCTGACACATTCTTGAAAATCGAATGAGAATTCGAAGAAGATATAAAAGAATAACATGATAAAGATACGAAAGAGTAAGATAAATAGTGTGCAAGAGAATACTGGAAACAATATCTCTTTACACTTACGAAGGGCAATGGGAAGTTGTTCGAGAACATCTGACTAACTGGCAAATCAAGTCCTTGCTTGGTGGTAGACGCCAGCATAGGTGGAGCAATATGATGCGTACAAACTTGAATGGGATCAGCAAACTTAGATGGAGGATTAGCTTGTACAACACGCTTTGAAGAAGCATTAATAGTCACAAATGAGGAAGTCATAATCATTTTGCAAATATGAGTGTATCAAAAGCAGCATTACCTGATTTGATTTTAAAGAAAGCGACATTGTTAGAAGTGATGTCATGATCTAATGATGATGAACAAAAACATCAGTATCTTTTTTGGGTTCTAGAATATCCAAGAAAGATTCCCCAAGAAACTTCACAATTAATTTCGTCCTTTGAGAACTATGGTTGTGAATAAAGCGTAGGGATCTAAAGATCTTGGGGGATAAATTAAAAGACTTGCTCTCAGAGTATAAAAGAGATACAATAATTTTGTTGTACATAATAGAAGTAGGCAATCTATTACATAGTTAGCAAGTAGTCAAAATTGCAGCCCCCAAAATTGTTTTGGAATTCGTCGGTGAAATAACATGATGCGTGCAATCTCTAGCAAATGTCTATTTTTTGCTTAGCTAATACATTTTGTTAAGGTTAGTAAACACATGAAAATTGATGTAAAGTTCCATTTTCTTCCAAATATTTTGTGAAACAACTATAAAAATTATTATTTTGTATTATTTGTTTTTATAGTTTTAATAGTGTTATGAAAGTGGTTCTTGATTTCAACACAAAAAACTTTAGAAATAGAGAACATTCCTGACAAGATTTCAACAAATAAATCCATGTCATACAAGAGAAATTGTCCTCAAAACTAACAAAATAATTAAAACTAAGTTTTGATGAAACAAAACGGAGGTGCCATACATTTGAATGCACTAAATCAAAGGGGTTATTAACCCTTTTATTGACATGACTAGGGCAAGACACGATGGTGTTTCCTAATTGACATGATTCACAATCTAAGGACTCAATATGATTTAAATTTTGGAACTGAAGTCCTAAAAATTGAAAGAGAGGTGATCAAGTTGATAATACTGATCAAAAAGTGATAGCAAGGTGATACAAGCCACCAGGTTTGAAGTCAAGTTTAACTCATACAAGTTATTTCGCTCATGTCCTGTGCCAATCATCTTCTACGTCCGAAGTTCCTAAAAAGTATAATATGTAGGAAAAAATATTATTGAGCAATTAAATGCCTTGGTAATTCTACTAATAGGTAAAATATTTAGTGAAAAGCGAGGTAGATATAACACAAATAAAAGTGAAAGACTACTAGTGTTGGTAGATTCTACTTCGTGTATAGGTATAATTGAGCCATCGGCTAGTACTATAGAAGATAGAAGTGCTAGGGGTAAATGAGGACAATATAACTTGGTTTCCAATCACATGATTAACTACCTCAAAGTCTGTAACCCTAAGTGCAAGGATGACGCAAGGATGACAATGATGTTAGAGAAGCCATGAATTTACCTGATTGGGCGAGGATGACTGTAGTAGAAGACTTTGCATTCTGGAATTGTTGGAATAGTTGCAATAAGATTTGTTCAAACCGGTGATGAGTTTGCTCATCATCTAAAGGATTCTCCAAGGCAGCTACATGCGCACTCCGAAACTGTTTACCATGCAGCTCAGGAAAATTGAACTTCATATGTCCCGGTTCATTGTAGTAGTGGCAATGAACTGAGTAACTATATATGCATCTTCTATGTGTTCCAAAGCGTCCATGCTCACCGAAGCATCCTCCACCTCGACCTTAAAAACTACCTCCTCATCCTCATGTCTGCCTTGATGTGTTGATGACATCATTAGAGTCACGCTCTTCAGAAAATAAAAGACCCTGACAAGAGAAGAGTTCAGTAGCCCACCTAATACTTGCGGTCATGCCGAATGATACAATGGATGAAGACTATCCAAGAATATCAATACCATCAGCTTGTTACGTTATTCTTGCATCTTCTTTATGTCAGATGTGCTGGGAAAAATATGACATAAATCCTCTAAAAGGCGGTTGAACTCCCGCATAATGGCCGTCCAAAATTGGGTCCTTCAACTTCATGTGAAAAAGCTCCTAAATGACATTATAGGCCCTATTAATAATTTAATATATCTTTGACTTGAGTATAGTTGGGCCAAATAACCCAAAGTTCCTTCATCGTCTAATAGTGAAGTTCTAAATCTTGAATTCGTGGCTCCATCGTGTTGATGATTTGTTCGAGAAGGACTGCATCGTCAACCACATACTTCTCAATCTCCGAAAGAGGATCTTCTATTAAATGTCACATCTTGCAATCCGCGACATGAATCTCATTAACCCGCTTCTATTGCAGGTAGAGAGCACCATCCAACCCACTATCTGTGATCTTTGTGGGTATCACGTTTGAAACAAACTTCATTTTGGCCTTTGTTTTGGCCTTCGTCTTTGCCATTAGTATACCCGGAACAAGAAAGATCCTCTTAACAATCAAAACTCACAAAACCAATCTCAATTACATCTAATAAACAATGATAACAAGTCAACATCCAACGTAGATCCTCAAAGAGGATAAGCAACAAAGATCCCAAAGAGGGGATAATCAATAAAGAAGTTGCTAGATCCGCACAGAGAGGTAAACAATAATGATGTTGAAAGATCCCTAAAAGGGGATAAGCAACAAAGTTGAAAGATCCCTAGCCTCCTAAAGGGGAAAAAGAACAAAATGTTGCTGAAAGATCGCCAAAAGGGATAAGTAACAGAGATATTGCTAACTTTCTTTTGTTTTGGGCTAACATTGAATGAGGCTTAATTTGGCCCAATCAACAAATTTTTGTTTTAAAAAAGCAAGTTTCGGTCGTTAACCCAATCAACAAATTTTTGAATGGGGCGGTTCAGTGCCTAGGCCGCATTTAAAACATTGCTATTGATATGAACTGGTTTTACTTTGAATGCACCTTAAGCTTGTATGGAGATAACAAGACGGCTATTCACATTCGAAAATTCAGTGTTTCATGATAAAACAAAATATATAGAGATTGCTTGTCACTTGATTCGTGGGAAGATGGAAAGGAGAATCACTTGTACCCTGAGAGCATCAACTTGCTAATATTCTCACAAAACCTCTTAGGAGTACATAAGTGAATTTTATTTGTGACAAGCTGAACATTTATGATATATATGCTCAGTTTTGTGGGGGAGTGTTGAGCGTTATGTTTAATATTTTGTTTAGTCCCACATTGCTTAGGGATTGATAACTCTTGTAATCCTATCCCTATAAATAAGATTTGGGGGGTGGGGGGTGGGGGGAGGATCCTTTCTGATTACTACAACCCATTTGGATATTTGAGTAGGGAATACAGGTAATATGTAGTCACTAACAATATACGCAATACAGTACATGTTTTCTGTAGGTTAGAGTTTGCATTTTGATGGCTTTTTAAAACATTGCTATTGATATAAATTGGTTTTCCTTCAAATGTCCCATAAGCTTGTATGGAGATAACAAGGCGGCCATTCACAGCCGAAAATTCAGTGTTTTATGAGAAAACAAAATATATAGCGATTGCTTGTCACTTAATTTGTGGGAAGACGGAAAGGAGAATCACTTCTACCTTGAGAGCATAAACTTGCTGATATTGTCACAAAACCTCTTAGGAGCACACGAGTGAATTTTATTTTTGAAAAGCTGAGCATTTATGATATATATGCTCAGTTTGAGGGGGAGTGTTTGAGGGGGAGTGTTGAGCGTTATGTTTAATATTGTGTTTAGTCCCGCATTGCTTAGGAACTGATAACTCTTGTAATCCTATCCCTATAAATAAGATTTGGGGGGATCCTTTCTGATTACTGCAACCCATTTAGATATCTAAGTAGGGAATACAGGTAATATGTAGTCACTAACAATATACACAATGCAGTACATGTTTTCTGCAAGTTAGAGTTTGCACTGTGATGTTGAATGAGAAATAACTGGCATTTTGAATATCTACTTTAGCAATTTGTTGTGATGTTTTCATTTATCTTCTTTCTATTCCTCCAAGTTGTGTGTTGGCAGCAAATATCACAATAAAATGACCTACATTCCTGAAACTATTATCTTCTGGTGGCTGCATTGAGATTTAGTTTTGTACGTATTATTATTCTTAGATACATTTATGTATCTTATACAGTAAATAACTTGAGTTTTCTATAAACAGGTATCATCCCGATAAAAATGCAAGCAACCCTGAAGCTTCAGAACGCTTCAAAGAAGTTGCATATTCGTATAGCATCTTATCTGATCCGGAGAAAAGAAGACAATATGATACTGCTGGGTTTGAGGTGAATGCTTTTATGATAGTTTGCAATTGTAAAACTAGTTGCGAGCATAAAATGTTCAGAACGCATTTGCTAATAGAGTTTTTATCACATTCCTAGTTCCTACTATGACTATGCATTAGTAGTGTGTTAGATGATAGTCCTTGACAATTCACCAGTTGATATTACTAGAAACATTTTGATACATTTTTTTCTATTGAATATCTTATTTGGAGCATAATCATGTTTGTAAACTGTTTCTAATTTTTATGGAATTATGAACCAGCAAATTATGACATTTGGATTTAAGTAGTTTAAGGTCTCTAAGAGTTAGGTACGTTTATGAGGATTCTTAACCTTGTAAATGTGAATAAAACAGCATCCAGTTGAAGGCCATTCGGTGTTCAGAAATATGCGTTTATTAGATATGACTTGGAAAAAATAAATTTTGTGCAGCTGACCCTGAAGGTTAGGATAAAGGCTCTATTTGGTGTCATGTACGAGTTTGTTCACAATATAGATTGGACTACTTACCAACATTTCCTATAACTGGATTGTTCTAGCACATGCCTACTCTCAAAGGCCTTTAGATTATACTGACTCTAATGGTGAGGGTTTAAATAAATATTTTATTGTTTAATGGACTCCTCGAGGACTGGTTGTTCTCTTTTGGCTTAAACATGGGTGATAAGCTTTTGTTGGTGTGTAATTTTTTTTGAGAACAGTGTCTTTTAATTTTATTCCTACTGGATTTGAAGTTTAGCCTCTAATACCATCTTAAGTCCTTCCCCTTGCTCGCGAAACTTCAAAGTTCTTCCCAACCGTCCTGTAATTGTGTTTGAATTCTACTTATTGCATCCCATTTGTTGTGTTGACAGTAGGGGTGTGGACAGATGTATTACTGGTCCTTTCCTGATTTTGTTTGTGTTCTATATCAGGATCTTTGTATCTGATCTAGTGATATCTATTTAAGATATGAATATAAAATATGAATATGAAAATTGTAAGAAATGGCCACATATTTGAAGGCATATCCACTTATACCCGATTTTCAAATGTGTTATATATACAATATTTAAAACATTGAAAAATGTGATATCGTGTTTCAAAAAAGACATGACCATGTGATTTCATATTTTCAAAGGTAAAAAATTAAAAATTAAAGTATTATCACTCCATTTTTTATGTTTTTGGTCATATTCATCAATACTCAGTATATAGCTGAAAAATATCCAAATTTAAGATCCGATCCAAAGTTGTTTTTGGCTACTATAAATATGAGCAATAATGTACATATCCAATGCAGATATGATAATGCCACCTATCCGGTATGGTGTCTCAAACTGACTAAGTTAGAATAAAAGAAAAATAGTAACTTTAATTGATTTAATGAGCTGTTAAGATGTATTTTGCACTAGTGTCAGTTATTTACCATTTTCTTAATAAAGTAACTTTTAGTTGATATAATGAGCTGTTAAGATGTATTTTGCACTGGTGTTAGTTATTTTCCATTTTCTTAATAAACTGAATTTTGGTTTTTCAAGACTTGCATTATTGGTGCAAATTGGGAGGTTAAAGTTGGATTATTTAATGTATTATCATGTTCTCTTAGTTGTTTTTTCCTTTGTGGAAATAAGTCCCATATTAAGGTTTGCGTAGGGGTGTCCATCCGGGCCGGCTCGGCCCGGAAAACCGGGCCCGGGCCTGTCAAAACCGGAGCCCGGACCCAGGCCCGGGCCAGTCCGGGTGCGGGCCCGAGCGGGCCCAGTTTTTTCATTTTTTCTCTTTTCTTTTCTTTTTGATAAAAATTTGCTAAAAATTAGTTTAACCTTATTATATTTATATAATCATGTATTAGTATATACTACAAATTATTATGTAACTATGTATTATATATACATATATTATATGTAAATATATTATATATATTTATAAGTTATAATATGAGAGAGAGAGAGAATCACATAAATATATGTTACATATTTATAAATACGTATTATGTAGTTATGTATGTATTTGTTACATACTTACATTATGCTTGTTTAAGTACAATTATACAATTTACTTATATGATATACTTTTATATATACTAGATGCTTGTAGCCTTATATATTATTATACTTATGCAGTTATACAATATACTTATATAACTGTAAATCTGTAATTCTATAATATACACATATGACATATAAGTATACTTATAATTAGATTATATATATATATATATTTATATTCTTATACATTAGTATCTGTATCTATACGACTCAAAGGGGCTCATATATATACTTGTAGAATTCATAGAAACAAAAAAAATTAAAATAATTGAATAATTCAAAGAGCCCAATCAAAGAACTCTAAATATATATATTGTGGCTAGGATTTGAACCACTAATATCCTCTCCAAATTCCTAAATTTTACCACTAGACTAAGTAGCCCAAAGTATTCATGTCACTCAATATATGTATATGTATATATATATACACACACATATACATATATTATACATAAACAAATTTTATACACTTATAGAAATTACATAAACAAATTGTATTTATAAAAATATATATACATATACATATACATATATTATACATGTATAGACTTATAAAAAAATATATATAAAAATTAAAAAATAAAATAAAAAACTATTCTGAGCGGGTAGGCCCGTGACAGTCGGTTTCATCGAGCGCCTGGGCCCGACCGAAACCCGGTATTGGCCGGGATTTCGAGCCAACCTGCTTTGGCGCGGCGTGCCCGAGCCGGGCCCGGCGGCAGCTAAGAGGACAAGTCTACGTTTGCGTTTTTGATGCGAAAAGATGAAAAATGCTGTTACATTCTGTTTTCTTTGCACACGCAGACACATTATATATCAAAAAATTTTCAATAGCGTAGTGATTTCCAATCCTAATTAAGCCTACATATTTGAAAGTGTACCTGAAGCCTTTTAACTTCAGAGTTTCCACAAAAAAAGAGAAAAAAGAAAAAGAAAAAAAGGGATGTTTAGCCATTGATTTGGCAGGAGCAGGAAATTTTGGGTACTTGTGTGGACTTGGGCCAGACATCTCTTTAAGTGCACAATTCAAAAACTTGGATCTGGTTACTACACTAAGGGTGTGTTCGGCTACTCTACACTAACTTGGTCAAGTCCTTAACCAAGTTAGTTTTGATCCGAGTAGAGGTGGTTCAATCAGGCCCAAATTGAACTAAGAACACCAAGTTTGGAGTAAGTCCTAATTTTACCCAAACAACAATTCGACCCGTTAACTAGGTTTGCTCCATTAACTTGGATAGTGGGCTAATTGCCTTACACACCCTAAGTGGGAGACACAGAATACCTATGTAATAGAAGAAAATTTCTATGCTATTGTTATGTGATCAATGATGATTTATCGGTCAGAAAATAAGGCAACTAAGTAACAAAATTGAGTAACTGAAATGAGAATGTTGACACGGAAGAGTAGCATGCAATAAGAGATAGGACAATGAATGCTAAAAGTTAAAGAGTTAACTTAAGAATAAGATGGGTTATATGGAGGAGAAGTATATGGTTTGATAAATACAGCAAAGGTCTGTGGCTCCAAGTCCACAAGGTATGAATAGTTAGTGATAAGTTAAGAATAAGACTATAAGGAGTGGAATAATATGGTTCGGATAAATGCACCGGAGATTAGTGGCTCCACTAGTTGTGAAAAGTGATGATAACTCAATTGAAGGATTGGCTAGGAGTTTGGTTAGACAAGGGCAAACATTGATTTCTTTGTAGTGACTAAGGGGGTGTTTGGTAGCTTGGAATTGGAGATGTTACAACTATTCTTGCATGCAACTACAGTTACAATTGTTCGGTTCAAATTTTGAATTTTGCAGCTCATAGTTGCAGTAGTTTGATTCTGCTTGTAACTTCACATTATTGTAACTTACATTTTGTAACTCACATGTTGAATTGTTCGGTTCAAATTATGGTTTTTTATTTTATAGAAAATTGTTTTTTACATTTTCTAAAAAATATTTTTTGTTAGATAAATTTTAAAACCATAATATTTTATTGTAAAACAATAATATATTTGTAAAATAATATTTTTTAAATATATTTTGTGAATTTTTAATAGAAAATTTTTTTAAGAAATAAATGAAATTTAGAAAATTTATTTTTTTCAAAAGATTATTTTTTATAAGAAAATAATATTTTTTCCTTAAAACTATTTTTTCAAAATTTAGGCTATTTTTTAGATAATATAAAATTTTGAAGGAAAATAATATTTAAAAAATTAATTTCCAAAGAATATTTTCAATAAATTAGTTTTTAAAAATAATATATATTTGAAAAAATATATGTTTTCCGAAAAGTAATATTAAAAAGTAATAAAATAATATTTTTAAAAATATATATTTTCCCAAAACTAATATTTTGTTGGTATAATGTTTTGTTAAAAATAATTGTTTAATAAAATATTTTTCAAACAATAATATTAATGGAAAAACATTTCTAGGAAAAATATTTATTTTAAAAAAGCTTTTAACGTAAATTATAATAATATTTTTAAATTATTTTAAAAATATTTAATGACTTCTTTAGGTTGTTTGAAATGTTAAATAATGATTTTGGATTTTTTTTTTATAAATTTGAGTTGGTTGCAACTGTGACTTGTGGCCATGTTGGACGTAAGTCGTATGTTGCAACTAAGGGATGTTTTGAAATTGTGGTTGTAATTACCGCAATGAGTTGCAAATGAACAAACACTTGCAACTAGACAAAATTGACCTAGTTGCATGCAACTGTAGTTGCAACCTGCAACCACTCCAGTTGCAAGCTACCAAGCGGAGTCGGTAGCCTCCTGATTGAACTGGACCAAAGGATTCATGTAGCTCAATACTACAGTTGCTATGAAGGTTGTTTTATTGTTATTTCATATGCTAGCTAGGACATAGGTTTGTGATCAAAAGCCTACATAACAACAAAAGACTTAAATTTTAATGTGCTTCACCATCAATTACATTAGTTTTTATTATGTTTTTACAAAAAAGAAAACTGCTTTTTAATCTGCATTGATTTAATGTAAAACGATTCATGTAGCTCACTGCAACAGTTTTTTATGAAGGTATTGTCATTCATTTTCTATACTAGCTAGGGGACATTTATTTTGTTATCAAAAACATTCATAACAAGAGAAGTCTTAAATGTTAATATTTTAGTGTGCTTCACCATGAATTACATTAGTTTCTATCATGTCATTTAGAAAAAAAGAAAAATGCTTTGTAGATGCATTCATTTATTTTAGTCAGGATCGGAGAGATATCAATAAAAATGCTTGTTATGAAGCGGAATATATGTCTATGAGAAGCAAACATTATCTTCAAGGTTCGGCATGTCCTAAGTGCCACAGGCCCACAGCTAACCATGAAATATACAACAGACTGGTTGAGGTTGCAACTTCTGTATTTTATGACTAGTAATTGTTTAATTGGTTGGATGTTTCTCAATATTTGGTGTTTTGCATACTGGTTAAATATGAGAATCGCTTATGATGACTTATACATATTTGTTCATCAGATATAATCTAAAGGAGTATAGGTTGCCGGGAGCTGTGGAGCATGATACGTAAAGAAATGGGTTGGTTAGCTAATGAAGAATCCTGAGATAAACATATTAGTGATCACACATCACCTAACACTCAGCTCGTTAACTATGCCTAAGTTGCACAATGATTTCTGTATATATTTTCCAACACTTAAGTTAGTGTCAGCAGGAGATTTGATACAAGTGGTTATTTGATATGTTCTGTTCACTTGTATTGTGTGAGTTTTTTCTACCTGCCCAAAATACTATAGCATGTCTGTCATAATGTCTTTTTGTGCTAGGCTATAGAAAGCGAAGGCATGGACATGGAGATTGACTTGTCTAACCTGGGTACTGTCAATACAATGTTCGCAGCATTATTCAGGTGACTTTTGAAGTTAATCTAACAATCATATGCTTTATTGTTCTGGAAGTTTACTGATACCAAACTGACTCATTGACATCTTCAGTAAGCTTGGTGTTCCAATAAAGACAACTATTTCTGCCACTGTTCTTGAAGAAGCTCTAAATGGAACCGTCACAATTAGACCTCTTCCTCTGGGTACATCTTTCAGTGGAAAGGTACTTTATCATTATTTTGGAATGCTTCTTTGGTTTTCTTGCTTGTCTTTGATCATTGTTTTGTAATTCAGGTTGAGAAGCAGAGTGCTCACTTCTTTGGTGTAACAATAAATGATCAACAAGCTCAGGCAGGAATAGTAGTTAGAGTTACCTCAGCTGCTCAAAGTAAATTTAAGGTAAGTACAGCATAAGTTATTTTCTTCCACACACAGATATTTGCAGCATTATTTGAAAGATTAATCTTTTTCCTAGGATTTTGTTTGGGAATATGCTCCTATATCCCCATTCTCAATCTACTGTTTCCAGTCTTACTCCATAACTAGTAGTCCTATCTAAATTATTTTTATTATTTTCACAGCTTCTTTACTTTGAACAAGAGGCAACTGGAGGTTATGGGTTAGCTTTACAGGTTTGTGTGACTATGTTTTATGCTTGTTTGAAATTTTACCAGTACTTGCCACCAGTTAACAATCACTACTTGAAAAATTGTAACAAGCGCCATTGTCTCCGTAGATATCATTTAGATGAAATGTACATGCTTTCTCCTTTCTTGTTGATGTCTTTATAGTTTAATGTTGCACTTCTGGCGAGATATGCCAAATAAACTTTCTTTGCACCTATATCTGGAGTGATATCGCTGGATTACAAGGTTGAAATCCTGCTTACCCAGAAGAACCGTTGTACCCAATAATTTTGAATTGCTCAATTAAACAATTTGTTTAAACTCTACTTTGGGGGCTCTAATTTCTGGTTTGGGCTTGCCAAGCTTGTTTCAGTTTCATACTAAGAAAATATGTTTTTTTATATACTACGTAGCTGTTCTGAGTCTTTTAAAATCTAGTTTTTTAGCCTTATGGAAATCATGAAGTTCCTGTTCTCCATCCATTTCCCCCCCAATTTTGTTATAATCTCTTTATCTCATATACATAACTAATAGTATTTTTGCTTATTAAAAAAAACTAATAGTATCTTTTCTTTTAGTACTCTTTCATGAATTTTTGACTTGGATCAGAAATCTGTTAATATCTTCTTGTAATATGCATGTATGCAGTGTCAAGTGTTGATTACGATATGCTAAGACTGTTAGTTCAACTGCGCAGTTCATTTGTCGTTTTGGTTATTAACTATTACCAGGGTCAATGTGTGCATGGATGCTGACTATTATGAAATGCCATGCGAAGTTCACTCTCTTCATCCTTTTACCCAACAGGATATGTTGATCAAACTTGCATGAACATGAAGGATAAGTAATATCTGTGATTTTGTGATGCTTTTGTAGCTAAGGTTCTGGGTGTAGAATTGATCTCATATCAAGATGTTAGTATGCCTATCAAGTCAACTGAAAGATGGGTTAAGATACCTGAAATTCATGCAAATTTTACAAGTCGTCCCTATTACATAGTCTAACACCCTCAGGCGGAGCATGTATATTGGTCATGTTTATTTGAAGACTATATATATGTACATATAATCAAGGTTTTAAATATCGGATATCGGGGAAATATCGAATGGCCAAAATTCATATCAGATTGCGGATATCGGGGAAATATCGGGGATATGTGGTAAATATCGGAATGCCATAATGAATGTTTGCATACATAGTATAATGCATTAAAATGTAATCTCAACATATGTAATGAAAATTTAAGCATACAAATTATGAATAATATATGTTTAGGATCACTAATCAACCTTCTAAAACAAACAAAAGTGCAAAGCAATGTTGCAACATTTGATCTGTTTTTTAGGGCAAAATGTCATTTGATATAATGAGGAAATCTTGATATCTCGCCCAAAAATTCCAAACACGGTATATTATTTTGCAACAAGCTATATAAAAAGTCTCGCCCAAAAATTCCAAACACGGTATATTATTTTGCAACAAGCTATATAAAAAGATATATTGGTCTATATATCGGCTAATATATCGGCCATATCGGGGATTTATCACTCAAAAAAGCCAAAAAGCGGTAAAGGATATTTAAAGACCATATCGGTTGCGGCAAGCCCTGTAAAAGGATATATCGGGGGATATATCGGGCCATGTTGGGGATATTTAAAACAATGCATATAATATATACATATGTATACATATACATATCTATATTATATATATATATATATATATATATATATGTGTATATATATATGTATTTATACATATGTATATATATGTGTGTGCGCGTGCGCGCGCGTGTGTATACTTTTAAACTAGACCACTAGCAACTCTCTTAGTGTTTGAATGTAATCTTGTAAGCATCATCATCGGTGGTTGGCTCTCTGTCAACAGAATCCTAAGACACATCGAGTTTGACATTTCAGATACTACCAGTTTTAAATATTGGATGTTGGGTTCATGTCGGACGGTCGAAATCTATGTTGGATAGTAAAAATCGGGGATATATCGAGGGATATAGACTAAATATCGGATTGGAATATCGGGTGGTGCGCGTGTGTATAATATCATGTCTTAAATGTAATCTAAGCATTCCTAAATTTAATATAAGCATACTTTATAAATTCCAAAGGCGACGCCGGCGATGGGTGGATTGGACGTCGTAGAGAGGCAGTGCCGGGGCTTTTCTTTTTCTTCTTCGTTTGGTCGGGGTCCTTCGGATGAGTCACTGATCACCTTCTTCCCTTAATCTCGACAACGTGATACCCTACTCTGCCGCCCTCGAGTTCAGTTGGGGTTTGGATTTCGAGGCGCAACGGGAGATGGACGACGACGGGTTGAGATAGAGGTGGGGAAGGGCGTCGTCGTTTACGAAAGGAGTGATCAGTTCCCATGTCCGCTGTAGCCCTAATTTTTCTCTTTTTCCTTTATCGGGTTCATAAGAAACCCTTAAACATGAGAATTGGTCAAATGAGTTTGGGTTTTTATCACTAAACCTAAACCTGATAATAAAAAACAGATCTAAAAAAAGGGTCATATCGGTCGATTTTTCAAGGCTGAAAAATTAGCCGATATGCCCGATATGATCCTGTTATTTCCGATTTGGCCCTAAAAATCGACATACGAGTTGAAAACGTTCATGTCGTGTCGTTCAAGCCCTCAAACCGACATGTCGGATATGTCGGTCGACATTTAAAACCATGAACTCACCAGCATGACCAAATAAATTTTAAAAATTTCATGAAGCCCAAACTATATTTAAAAACATTATAGTAATTAGTAGCGATTGGAAAGTAAAAGCCCCTTCAAATTTTCAACAATAAAGTGTAGTAAGTACATTTGTCATCAAATACTATGGTTTTATAATAGGATAAAATAACCGACTCATCCTTAAAGTATTAGTGAACTCTCTAGTGCCCACCCAAAGGTATCAAATTAACTATTTCAATCTTAAACTATTTATGTGGTTTCAATGTGGTTATTTTCTGTGCTCACAGTATCATGTTTTGTTTGCATTTCTTCACGGGTTTTATCGATCCATAACCTTTTTTTCCTAAATAGAAAAAACTTTTCTACTTTACCCCAAAACTTTTTACCCTTTTCGGGAATTAGAAAATTATTTTTTAAACTGTTGGAAATACAAGAAATATAGAAAAAACACTATAACGTCGTTTATCTGTTAAATAATTGACTGTAGGCTCACAAAATGATGATATTGAGAACATACACATTTTTTTTGTTTTTGGGGTGGGGGGAGGGGGGGGGGGGGGGG